GATCCAGGTTCCCTTGGATCGTGGATTCAGCGGGGTCGCAGGATCGGGTCAATAATGCGCGGCCGCTCGATCACGTTCGACTATCGTATCTCCGTTATATGCATATCAATTTAAGTCCACCTGCGGCCCAGGATCCATTGCGCCAGATTTATCGCGATCCTGGACCCTGGACGAAGGAGTGGCCGCAGCCACGATTCCAGCGTGGGCCGGAATATATCTATTCTGGATGGAAAGACGCTGCTATACCGACGCTCGATATTACGGGAAGGGTATGGCCGCGTCGTTTCTCACGGAGTAACGTTCTTCGCAGGGTGCGAGACGTTAAATCGACCATCGGTGGTGATAGCTTGTAAGAGACGGTCAATGAATCTCGATCGCTCGATTGGACACGTTGTGGCTCTTAACGGACGTTTAATTCCGCGTGCTGGATAGTGTCATTGTATAGAGGCGTGACGCGGAATTTACGCTAAGTTGGAACTACTGTCGCAGCGAGAGGGCTTTACTGTTGCTGATAATTAGCGTCCGCGTGTCAGGAATAATGGGAAAGTTTCGTGAGAAAGCGTAAGAAGACACGACGACGTTTCCGGTCCGGTATGAAAAATTCAGAGGACACGAGGAAGGAAAATTTCGAGGTTAGCTGAAATTCGTCCCAGTGGAAATCCAGGCGGTTTAATTGCTCCGAGTGCTAAATGGAACCTCGCGCTGGAATGCAGTGATTGCGGGACACGCTAGCTGGCTGCTACCGTTTTCTAGAAAATATCTTAATAATTCCGCGGAAGAGAGTCTCTCTCGGTCGTTTCTTAAGGTCTCCGGCAAGGGAGCCACGGAGGCTGTGTTTGTACGGATGTAACCGATGGAAATAGCGTACCGGTGATCGGGCAAGATTTGCACATTTTGCAGGCGGAATTGCAAGGCGAAACCGACCTATAAATACACGTTTCAACTGCCACTTAAGATTCCTAGCTGCTCTCTCTTTCTCTATACATCCATCTGCCACTTCGCTGTACCTCGTGTTCGGTACTACGAATCGGGAGAGAGGAACAGGAAGCACGGGAACTGGTCTCCAGAAACAATAGCAACGCGGCTCACGTTAAAGCTCCCCACGAGGAAATTAAGCGAGCAACTCGCCGAGATTAATGGATGATCCCAGTAATTGGACTCCAAAACCACGAAAACTAAAAGTACTTCGTCTTCGGAAAATCTCTGAAAACGGAACATGGAATGTACGATCTTGTTCCAACTGACAGGTACAAATGAGTTCCCTATCCGTTTAATTTGTTCCGAGCCTATCGAGTGACATAGTTTCCATACTGAAAACTGGAAAATGAATTTCCTTCTCTTTGTCTAACTCGAGGTTAGCCAGTGGACCGTAAGGATCGAAGCAGAGAAGCAGCAACGTTCCCTTGACGTCTAACGAGGAGGCCGATCTATATCCGAGCCTGTCATTGAGATTGATCAAGATATAATTCGTCGGATAGGAGCGAGCCGAGGACCACGATGTCCCTATCCCTAGGAAAACAGGCGCAACGTCGTGCAAAATTGGAGTTCGTGGCAAACGAGCACCACTTATCGATATTTATCGCGTAGACGTCGGCTCGTAAAAGCGGCGACTACGTTCCACGGATGGGCACCGTTCTACGGGACCATCTTCCGTGTCTGACGAGTTGGAGGCTGAAAAATGCTGGTGTTCGCGTCGAATTCAGTGGATACGCGTTCCTGTCTGTCCGTGGGTCGTAAAATCAAGAAGATTATACGCTCCGGAGACGCGTGATATTTGCCAGCGCAAAAATGACAACGCGTCGATTGATACCTCGTTTCTTCGGCGTTGTAAATCTGCTTGATTTACGAGCGATCGACGGGGCTGGAATGGAAAGAGACATTGGTTGGACGCGTGGAATTTTTACGGTGGCCAATTAGCCAGTCGGTCGACCGGAAGAATCGTCCCGATTGTAATTTCTGATCGCGGCCCGGTCTCAGGCGAGCGTGCAAGCTTCCGGGATTACGATCCCGCGCTGGTTGACAGGGACGTCATAGAAAGATACGGCGCTCGAGATAGGAGGAGGATACGAGCTGTAGAACTAGCTGTAAATTAACCACACACCACGGACCCGGTGCATTCGTCGCTTCGGGTTCTTCTTCCTACGATGCGTCTGTGTGCACGGCTGGTACGCGTTAGTAGTATCGTGTAGTTGGCGTATCGAGCTGCGTACACGACACGATCGGCCAGTGCGTCACGATTTCAGATATCCCGTACGCGTGCACACGCATGCTGGTATAATATGTTCCGCAGGCTTTTTTCCGTGGGATTCGTGTCGTTGGATCGACCCACAAGGTGGAAAGGTTCACGTGATATCCTTGTGTTACTACTATTCAACTATTTATGAGATTTCCCAAGTATTCCAAACGATACTTTTCCGCTATTTTTTCAAGGGAGCTTTTTATTTTAAAAGCTCGCTTTCTGTAATGTTTTTTAGAGGGATTTACAACTCATTTTTTATAGTAATACCTCTATTTACTATGTATTTAAAGATTTATACGGAACTTCAATTCTTTTGTGTATATGCATTTATGTATACACATGTATTAATATTTTATTTCACTTCGGAAAGTGACCGAAATTTATAGAATGTTACCATGGGAGAAGGTAAATACTTTAAATTTTACGTAATAATAATTAATTATTAAACTTTGTATTCGCAGAGAGATAGTATGAATCTATTAAAATCCAGGAAAAATAGCTTTGGTAAATTTCGGTCAATTTCGGCTTCGATCCACTTTTTGCAAGTTCAAAGCTTCGTCACTCCCTTCCTTTAACGGGTTCTACACACTCTCGTTCCGAAATTTCGTATATATAATTCCTAAATCAATCTACCCTAAACACATCTTATCATTCGGATCAAATTTCCCATTTCTACGGTATTTTCTGCTTCTTCACACCCACTCGATCATTTAAATACCTATCATTTGCACATTAACTTCGAAATTACGTCTGCTACCCGTTGATTCAATTTTCTTGATCGCAAATAAACGAATAGCTCTTATTCAGAGGCCTCGGCACCAACGATCTAAATTAACCGATATTCCAGACCGCAATTACTCGATACTAGGCGGGTATTTCGCTCCGTTCGAGCCTCGTGTAGCGGCTAGCGTAACTTGCGCATGCTAATGATTCAATTTCTCAACGCGTATTACACTTTCGTGCGCACGCACGCGTTTGTTTTAATTACCGATCTCCGCGGCGCGCGTTCCCCTATGCGCGGATATAATTTGCGCGTGCGCACGCACCGTTGGATCGCTCGGATCTCCCTCGATCTTTCCCTATCTCTGGCGCATGCAAACCAACGCTCTCGATCCTCCGCAGAGCGCTGTGGTTAATGTCCCGTTTGATTGCTCGACGCTCCGATCGACAACGATCGATCAAGAGATCAAGGCCAACGCTACGGTCCACGAGATCGATCGTTTTTCCATTGCCTCGGACAACGATCGTTTCCGTGATCCACTTATGACGCCACCTTTCGCGCGCATTCGCCGCTAATAATTACCTAATTATTATCCAATCGCTGCATCTTTTTGCCCGGATCCTAGATTTATGTGCCTTCTCCGACCACGTCGTCCACGCTGTTATTAGTGGCATCATTAAACGAGTATCGATAAGAGAGATCTTTTTCCACTCGCGAACAAGGTGCATGATTGATTAAAACCAGATACTTCTTTCGTTGTAACTAATACTTTGAACGTTTTGTATACATGATGTATCACTCTGCGACCGACTTATTCTCCTTTTCCTTAGTATTCCAACCGTAACGAGTCCAGCCAGAGATTTTGCCGTGTCATTCGAAAATGTCCTCGAAACGATCTATCAATACAGTCGTTCTTTCATCGATCTTCTTCATTCTGCGGTTACTCGAACGAAGGCAACGCTCGACTGAGTCGGGAAGGTCGCAAGACCTTCGCTGGTGACAATGTTTCCCGCTGGTGGGACTCGAACAACGTCGCGGAAGCCATTAAGAGACGAAGAAATGGCGTTTCTCGGAGATTTCGTGGAGAAAAATAAACTTGGAGAAGATCATTTTCGGGCTCCTTTTCCCGCTCGAAAAGATTTATAAAAGGGGTGGAAATAAAATAAAGCGAGACTGAAATAATAACAACGTAATTCCAAAACGAATCGGCCAATGAAAGTAAGGATGTCCGTGACGTCTGAACGAAAACGGCAATTATTTATTATCCCGGCGAGAAACGATCGCAACTAGCTGGGAAGATCGAAAGGCAGAGGAAACGGATAATAGATAAACGAGATACGGTGTTTCACGGTCGATGATTCCGCCACTAATCGATTATGTTATTTTTTCCCCGTTGCTCCTCGTGATCGAACAGTTTTCGTATCGGTGGAGAACGATCGCGGCGAAAACCGCGGGACGGACGATATCCCTGATTTCCCGTAAATGAACCGGCAATCGGCGTTTAAAGCCGCGGCGTAATCGGCCTATCCGATCGATTCCCGTTTTCCATAGCATTATTAATCCGTCCTTTAACTACTTCCTTTGCCAAGGAAACGGCCACTTTGATTCATCGCGAGCCTATTACGTCCATACATATACTCCCCCGAACAGCCATTCGAGTACATTGAGACACGCTCGGACAGGCTGCCGAGGAACCGAAATGGATTCGGAAAACTTTCTTCCGGAATGGCAAACGATAGAAATCGGGTGCTAGAAAGGACAGTTAGATTGCGAAAGGAAAGTTGCAGCAACACGTGCACCACCAAGCGCGACGATCATCATCTCGTGGTTTAAAAAACGTTCAGGCGAGAAGGATCGCCGTAATATCCAGAGAGTGGAAAAAGTACCGTTCCCATGGAGGACGCGAGGGTCCCGGGTCGGAGAAGGCGAACGAGAGGAAAAGAAAAAGCGCCAAGTTCGCGGTGCACCGTTGATCGCGCCTGCTGGCCGGCGAGCGTCCCCTTAAGCAACTAGAGCGAAGTAATAAAAATAATCACTTACAATCTAATCTTCCAGTCCATCCTCGTGGCAGCCATGGCGAGCCGCTCGGTTCCACGGACCTGCACGACCTTCGTTCGCCCTCGTCGCTGCAACCAGTCCCTTGGAAACTCACTGGAACGGGGTCTCTCACGAATCACCAGAGCACTGTGCGTTCCCCTTCGTCGAAAACGAAAGCGCGGTTAACGTAATGGCACGCGTGTGTGCGCACGTGCGTGTGCGTGAGCGGCTCGATGTGTACGAATTGCTGTCCGTCGTAGGCTGTTTAGAACCCGTTCACCACCGGTTTCCGTGTAACCGCGCCGAGAACGGTCCGTTTCCACTGTCTGGTCGCGGCAGACGACCGGGATCCACTTCCACTGTGACGGAAGGCAGAAGCAACGCCCGACGTCCAAGCGAAACGTTGTTCGACACTCGGGTCGGTGGAGCGCGCGCGGTGTTATTCTATTTTGCCTGCGTGGTCGGGAACGGAGAACGCGCGCGAGATATCCCTTCGTGTTTGTGACCTTTGGATCAGCGCACGGAGCGAGAGAACCTTAGCCCGGATCGTCGGTGTTCTACTGAAAGTCAAAACAGAGGCGCGCGTGAGGGGAACCGATGGAGAGTAGAAGGACAAGAGGAGAGAACGGGCTTCCTGCGCGCGATGCACGAAAATGGAGCAACGTGCGTTCTGTGCCACTGTTCTCCGTTCTCCGTAACACTCTGCCAGGATATCCGCGCGTGGCTGCTCGTCTTCCACGGCCGCGAAAGGTGGGAAGATGAGGAGGAGGAGGACGAAGAGTAGTAGAAATAGAAGAGGTTACCGAGGTGGAGGCGGTTGTGATGATGGTGGTGGTGGTGGTGGTGTTGGTGGTGGTGGTGCTGGTGACGGCGGTGGAGGTAGAAGAGTGGTGCCGGTGGAAGTGGTGACGACGGTGGTGGACGATGACGGTGACGGTGGTGGTAGTGTTGTGGTGGTGGTGGTGGTGACGGTGGTGGTGGTGGTGGTGGTGGTGGTGGTGGTGATGGTGGTGGAGGTGGTGTGGTGATGGTGGTGGTGGAGGTGGGTACTCGTGAGAGGATCCTCGCCGTATGGAGTACTAAGCAGTAATGACATGGTCTAGGAGATGCCAGTCAGTTTTGTAATAACGCCGGTAAAAAGTGAATTTCCAGCGGAGGTGGGGAAACGTGGCCGGGTCCAATCCGAGAGCCCTTGGGTTCGACAGCTGACCAATCGGAGCGCGATATTCGAGACCCCCGGGTTCTTCTTCGTCTTCATTTTTTCCCCCCACATTTTTTCCCTTTTTTCCCCGTTGTCTTCGCAGCTATCCTCCCGAGAGGAAAGTCGTAGGTGTTTTTGAAGTTGCTGCCGTTTCAAACGGACCGCCCGAGGGAAACGGACCTGCTCGGGGTGTCGGCAACGGATGAACGGAATCGAGCGTTTCGAATCGAAACGTTTCGTCCGAACGAACTCCGGGAAATTGACCGATTCGCAAGAAATACCAGCGATGGAGCTGGTCTTTTTTCCAAGACCTTGGATCAGACGCGAGATGTCAGAGTCGCGTCTCGAATATCGATCGCATCCGGAGGACCCAAGGGTGATCCTGGAGAACGAATGGGGATCGAATGGCGCGTTCGACGGGTAAAATCGTACGTGTCGATACGCGATTGCTAGCTCTGCCGTCGTTGCGGTGCATTATTCATGCATCACCAGTCACTCGGTACATTTAACGGTGAACAATATCGCGGAGGATATGTCAATAAGGTGGTACCGCGGCCGTTGAAAAATGATCGCTGCGAGGACAAGTTGGACCACGGTGACGAGAAAGGATGATTCGCGGCGTAATAAATGCTACGGGCCGTGGATGATCGCAACGATAGCTTCTTCTTTATTGCATAACAGTAACTTACTTCTTTCTGTCACGGTGGATGCCTCTCCTTAATCCTTATTACTTCATTTATCACGACGAACCGCCGCCGCGACTCACCGCGCATCCTTATCAGCGCTTCGAATCCCGGAATCTGGACTAGTGACATGCTTCCTTTCGCACCTTGTACTCCTTTTGCCCGCTGCCAACAGTGTAAAACGAAAATTGCTAAAATGAATTATGCTTGTAAAATAATTTTATAATTATCATCGATATTAATACCCAGCCAATTATTGCGACCCCGAATCGAACGACGAAGAGGTAAAATATGAACGGCACGAAATGGAAACACGACGCGGGAACATCGGACGAGCGTTACGAAAAAGATCGCGCGATCGCTCGTTTCCAAGAGTAATAAAAAGGGTCATTGCTGTGCAGGAACTACTGTCGCTTCGAGGAGCGTTTCCGCGAAGATTCCGTTTCGCACTCGGCTAACGGCACCGGGCGCATCCTCGCCAGGGAAATCGCCGACCCGTTGGCAAGACAGAGTCGAGCCAGCCGAAGCCAGCGAAGAATCCCAACGATACAGGAGGTCTGCTCTATCCGGCCAACGAAATCCTCCATTTTCAACTGAATTTCTCATGACCAGCTTAATTACCAGGAGCACGTTCTTCTTCGACCTATGCGTCATTCGCTTCCGCTCCGCGAGGAACTCCTCGAATAATTGATACCGATACCGCTCATCGCGCGATCACCGTTTTATACCTTTCCATCTGGCTCGCGTCGAGAATCCGGCCGCGCGTCGAGTATTCTAATTAGACGAACGAAATGACCGCTTGGAAGAAAATAATCCACGATAAGGAAGTTCTCGGACCGACCGGCAGCGTTTCGCGCTCGAATCTGTCCACTCGTCGTCGAATCGACGACGTGAAATCCTCCGTTCACGATCGCCAAAGGTTAATTGACGCGACTCGTGCACTGGTAATTGGATTAAGACGCACCGTCGATACCTGGCCCATGGGATTGGCCGAGAGAGGGAATCGATGAATCGAGGGAATCGACCGACTTAGATTCGATACGCGTCGCCCGGAACAGAGAACCTGCTACCGTTGCGGAGAACGTTTCCGCGAAGCGTCTGCTTTCGCGTAACGGGATCGGTATCTCCTGAAATTCGCCTAATCGTCCACGATACTACGGTAGCCTCCACTACTTCGGGTCGCAGGTCGCCAACGTCTTTCTTTCCACTTTCGCGAATTTTTCCTGAAGACTCTTCAAGTTCTCCGATCCCTTCTTCCTACACCTCGTCTATAATTTTCGAGAATATCGAATCGAGACATTTCTATCTGTAAAATTTGTAAGTCTGCTTTCGCGTAATGGGATCGCTATCCCCTGAAATTCGCCTAATCGTCCACGATACTACGGTAGCCTCCACTGCTTCGGGTCGCAGGTCGCCAACGTCTTTCTTTCCACTTCCGCGAATTTTTCCTGAAGACTCTTCGAGTTTTACCATCTCCCATCCCTTCTTCTTAAACCTCGTCTATAATTTTCAAGAATATCGAATTGAGACATTTCTATCTGTGTAATTGGTAATCTCGCAACTGTAAAACTCGTAGTTAGAAATATAAGAATATATTTAATTACGGAGAAGATGCACGTAGGATCGGATGTAAACGGATGGAACGAGTGGAGATATTTTATCTGGAAGATTATGGTAAAGGGATAAATAAAACATAGCGGTACAGGTTTTCCAAGGGAAAAGACAACATCCGCCACGTATGTTGAGGAATTTCAGCATTCCCTGCCGGCGTAACGGAAAACGCATCCAGCGAAATTGAAGAAATCGCGGATAGGATAGGATAACTCGCGGGGCAGTTTCGCGGCTGAGAGAAAGATAGCGCGGGCAGAAGGTACCGCGAGGAAAAAGAAGACAGGATGGGTTCCGGGTTCGATTCCCAGGGCTGACTCGAGAAACGCCGCTTCCTTCGACCGATCTAGATTGAGAGGAACGAAGGCGCCTACCGGCCAGAAACACGAGCTGGTAGCAATAAATTATTATACCACGGATGATTTCACGGGCAAGGGTCAAACGAGCCGAACGGAACAACGGCCATTATACGGCTGGTGGATGATCAAGACGTCGTCTCGAATCGGAAGTTCATCAAGCTTTTTCCCTGCCAGCATCGCACCCGGTATCGAGCAGCATCGCGAGGGTGTATGTGTGTGCCAATGCATTTCGTGATCCGCAGGTCGATGTGATCTTTTTATGGGGTTCGTTAAGGGCGTGTGTAAGATGTTGGAGAAGATTGGTCGCAGGTGTAGCCTCGCGAACTTATCGCAACGATGGCTGCGAGACAGAGTCGTGAAAACTGGAACGATAAGGGGATCGAAATGGGAGATTAATTGGAACGAATTATTAAAACGCTTTGCTCTTTGCGGCACGGGATTTCAGATAATAAAATAAACTTATATTGCACAGAAATTTGATTGCGTTTTAAATGAAACAAAATTGGTACATTTTTACTAACACTAGGTTCACGGACGCTATCTGTATACCTGTTTCTAAGGACACCTGTCAAATTGACAGATAAAGGAAACCACGTACTTTTTTTTAACGATTAGTTTAATTTAGAAACAATTATATATTATATTAACAGTCTTAATATAAGTTAACTAAATCTGTTACCATCGTATAATTGGAGCAACCATTTCCTCAAATTGACGGGTCCCGTAAATCTAGTGCTAATAAAGGAATCGCGTAATGTAAAAACATAAAACCGAGAAAATAAGACAGTCGCAATGAACCTTCCACTTGCAACAATTGATGAACCTGTACTGGCATGTTGAACGTTGCCAACACGGGGGAATACATTTATAACATTTGTCGAAGGTATTGCCAACTGCTTTACGTAAATAAGACGAAATATAAATGCGCATGCAGCTATTGCAATCATCTCGAGATGGGACTTAAACTGTCCCAGCATGCATTACGGTGCATCAAAAAGGTGGGACACTTTTAATCCCAGCGTGCCCCAAAGAGTTAATAGGAGAGCACGTTATATTTACGCAAATTGGGTATTTTATTTCTGCGATTACTAAAAGCCTACTGATACCATTAACTGAATTAATTAGTGTACTTGGATACTGTAGACTAATTGATTTAATTTCACTACAACTGTACTGCAGCAGCTTCT